GTCTGTGCTGGGATCTGGGCAGAGCTTTAGAGGGAATGACTTAAGGCTGGAGCCCTGCACCTCCACCGTGAAGCAACACACTTCCCAGGGCCACAGTTGCATGTTTTACCATCTAAGCCTGTGCCTGAGCTGGAGAGGAAGACTTAATGCCTTCATCTTACCTCCTGCCTCTGGGCATCTGACACTGATGCTGTTCTCTGTGCTTGGGTACGGAGAACCTCAGTGTCTGCAGCACGCTCGTGTGTGCTGTCCCGCCTCGTCCCTCTGTGTGCCACGGAAGGCACGCAGCCTTCTGATGGCTGCCTGGTCCTCCCGGGAGTAATGTCAGGCCTCGGTTCCTGCAGGGAAAGACAAGGAAGACGTGGTGGTCCCAGCGTCAGGCGGGAGGTACGATGTGCACCTCAAGAAGCGGCAGCGCGTCGCGGTGTACTGGGAGGAGGAGGTGTCCGAGGTGCGCCGCTGCACGTGGTTTTACAAGGGAGACAAGGACAATAAGTACATTCCCTACTCGGAGACCTTCAGTGAAGAACTGGAGGTAAATAAGCCTTTCCTCATAGCATCCATCTTCCTGAGAAGCATCTCGGCTTCTCACTGTCATTGACTCATAGAATGGTTTGGAAAGGACCTTACGATCATCCGGTTCCAACCCCCTGCCATGGGGACACCTCACACCAGACCATGTCACCCAAGGCTCTGTCCAACCTGCGCTTGCAGATGGGGCAGCCACAGCTTCTCTGGGCACCCTGTGCCAGCGCCTCAGCACCCTCACAGGGAAGAGCTTCTGCCTTAGATCTAACCTGAACTTGCCCTGTTCCAGTTTGAACCCATCACCCCTTGTCCTGTCACTCCAGTCCCTGATGCAGAACCCCTCTCCAGCATCCCTGTAGCCCCCTTCAGACACTGGAGGCTGTCCCAGTGCTGGCCCTGATGTCCCAAACTCCACACGGGGTGACTGGCACCACAGTCACGCCTGAGGACATGAACTTGAAAGAGGCTTTGGCACGGCCTTTCCGCAGCCGATTAGTGGAACCGTGAACGCTGCCACCAGCTCCCTCCCAGGCTGCTGCTCCCCTTCCCGCTGCCCTCCCCAGCCAGGAGACCTCCTCCTGCGACACGCTGCGTGCTTGCAGCCTCCCTGCAGCAGCTTTGCTCTGGGTTCTCCTGCCTTTGCCTGCCCTGACTCCAGTTTCACCCTCCTGGGGAGAACCGTCCTCGCTGCACTCCCAGTTTCACCCAAGCCGAGGGAGGTGGGAAGGCAGGAAAGAGAAACCCACTGAACACAATGTGGATTTGGAGACCTCGGTGGCCTGGGCTGCTAATGGCTGGAGGCTTTGGAAAGACCAGCTATATATGCCTACATATGTATGGGTATAGAAATGTACATCTTTGCACTAATGTCTATTCTGATGGACCAAAAGATGCAGATCTAAATGCATGGGGAAGTCTGCTGCTGCCATGGAAGCGGGGGCTCCTTGGAAGCTCTCTAACAGGTGATTCTCAGACATCCCTGTTTCTCCTCCAGCCTCACCTGCCTCTGTCACAAAGTGCATTGAGAAGAAATACCATGAAATGGGTGGGGAATACCCCGAGTGGTGGAATATTCCTGGGAATACCTTCAGCTGACTCACAGAGGGTGTTCTTTTCCTTAGGAAGCTTACATGACCGCCGTGACCCAGGATGAGTGGAAGAAGAAACTGGAGTCCCCTAGCAGGGAAATCATTATCCTGCACAACCCAAAGGTGAGGAGGTGCCTGGTGCTCATAGAGCCCTAGAACGGTTTGGGTTGGAAAGGACTTTAAAGCTCATCTAGTTCCAGACCTTGCCAGGGGCAGGGACACCTTCCACTAGAGCAGGTTGCTCCAATTTGGCCTTGAATCATGATCTTGGTGTGGACCAGCAAGGACATCCCTGCGGTTCTCCTGGGGGCCTGGCTTCTTGCTCTGCCTTTATGCTGTTTCTTTTCACCATGCCTGCTGAGCAACCAGTTTTCTCCAACCATTCCCCTCTCCTGCCTGTGTCAGAGTGAAGAGTCTGCTTCACACCATCACGTCTCTTTTCAGCACGGCTTTCACTCTGTGTGCAAAGCACTGTTAAAACAGCACAGGCTGGTACCACCCCGTGTCACCTACCAGCTGTGGTGGCAGAGCTTCTCCTCTGCTCCACTGTGGGCAGCTTAATGACAGGCTCTTCTTGTTTACAAGCTGATGGTGCACTACCACCCCGTTGCCACCTCCGACGACTGGGGCTCAACTCCTACAGAACAAGGTCGACCTCGGACTGTGAAGAGAGGAGTAGAAAACATCGCTGCTGAGATCCCCAATGGTGAGCTCGCTTCTCCCTTCCACCCATCCAAAGCCAGAGTCTCTTTTCCACCCTGGCTACTCACAAAGCCTGGCACAAGCTCCCGTCATCCTCTAGATGAAATGCCGTGTGCCGAAGGGAAATGAGTGGTTTTCGGGAAGCTTCCTAGCACCAGAGCCTGCAGCGTAGCTGGATGTGCAGAGGCAGCAGGCACACAGGGAGAAGGTGGTGTGCTTCCAGCACAGAGACAGGGCTCTGGGAAGCAGCGCAGTGCCTGGAATTGCCTGAGGTCTTGAGGTGTGTTTGTAAAGGAGGAGAGTTTCTTTCTGTGGTAGGGACACAGGTTACCTCCTGCTTTCTGGAGCACGTGCTCTCCCTGTCTTGGGAAGCTGTGTCAGCTCTGTCCCCTCCCAGCTGCCCCTGAGCTCCCACTCGGGCATCAGGATGTGTTCCCAAGCGGAGGACAAGCAGTTATTCCTGTCTAACCCCTTCATTTCCTACGCATGCATGCCACCAGGGAAGTATGTATGCAAAGTAACGCGTGGGGGAGATAGAAAACCAGACGTAACTCCACCTGGTGCCTCCCTGAGCCTGCCGAGCCAGGCTGGGTGGCACAGGGCGGCTGGTCCCACTCCTCTCCTGTGCTGGACGTGCCCTGCACTGGGTGGGAGTGAGCTGTGAGGACTCTGCTGAGGTGAGGATGGTGACAGAAGGGACGAGCCACATCGCCTTCCTCTTACTGTGCTCTTGATCCACATCCACCCCAGGGTGGGCAGCTGGACGGAGCAGGACAAACAGTTCAGGAACGTGAGAAAACGTGCTCCAGGGGGACCTTGTGACTGTGTTCTAATACCTAAAGGGGCTCCAGGAAACCTGGAGAGGGGCTTTGGGCAAAGGGCCTGTAGGGACAGGACAAGGGGAATGGCTTTAACCTGCCAGAGGGGAGACTGAGATGAGCTGGATGAGAGCTTTAAGCTCCCTCCAACCCAAAGCAGGCTGTGGTTCTATGAAATCCCACCACCCTGGAGGCATAAAGTCCCGGCACTACCTGCTTCTTTACCTGGGTGAGGTGTGAGGGGCAGCTCGACCCGTGGCTTCAGTCCCCGCCGGGTGCTGTCTCCTGCTCTCAACTCTTCCCTCCTCCTAAGGGGAGCCGCTGCAGATCGATCACTTGGTGTTCGTGGTGCACGGGATCGGGCCAGCCTGTGACATCCGCTTCAGGAGCATTGTCCAGTGCGGTAGGTGCGGAGCTGGCCGGGCGCGTGTCCACCCGCTGCTCTGGGGGCAGCCACTGAGCCCCCAGCCCTGGGGGCAAAGCAGAACGCTCTGAGGGTGCGTTCACAGCGCCCCGACACCCAGCCGAATGTGCTGAGTGCAGTGGGGAGCGTGAACGCAGCGCTATAGCCATGAAATCCTCCCCGCTGGAAAGGTTTGGGCAACCGCTTCTCACCCTTGGGTTCTGCTGCGGCCCTAAACAGTGACTTTCCCAAATTGGGTATTTCCCAAGTAACCTGCTTGGTCTATTGCTGGGTGAAGTCTAACGGGCAGCACCCCCCCCGAGCAGCCTCTGGAGTTTGGACCAAACCAGGGATTCTGCTTCTGGCTCAGGGAATTCCCACGATGACAGGTTAGGAGAGCACCAAGAAGGGCTCCTGGGCTTGCAGCCTGCCCCAAGCATCCTCTGGAGTTGGGTGCTAAACCAATTAACTCTGGTCTGACCTGTTAATTATTAGAGTGCTGCAGTCCTGCAGGAGAGGTGATCACTGAAACTGCCTGGAAGCCTGACATGGTTTAACTTGTAAGGATCAAAGGAGCTGGGATTTTCAGTCTTTCATTCCTATAAAACACACCTCTGCCCTAACACCATCTGCACTTCTGTGTGTTCAGCCATGAAACCATTTGCAAGGCTGCTGACCATGTGCAAGGAAGGAAATCAGTGTTTCTCCCTCAGCACTGAGTCATTTCAAGTTCATTTCCCACCCCCCCCCACTTAGGATTCCCTTTCTAACACAAGCATCTTCACAACAGATTTACTGGTTTTAAACTCCTAAAAGTACCTCCCTTATCCTGATGCTGTGCTAAAGCCCTGCCCACGTGGGAAGGAGGCTTGTTACAGATGGGACAGCGAAATCCGGTGCACACACATGGAAGGACATGGAGCCTTCCCCTGATCTTGTAGTTAAAGACTGAAGGTCTTAGGGTAGCAGATTAAAGACCCTGGTGGGATTTCCCCTGGTAATGATCTTTTCTTCTATCTTATTAAGCCCTGTGGATGTGGCTTGTCCTGGAGCCTCCCTTGGTAAGAGTTGCTGCTCTTTTCCAGTGAACGACTTCAGGAACGTTTCCCTGAGCATGCTGCAGGCGCACTTCAAGAAAGCCCAGGAGCAGCAGCAGATCGGGCGCGTGGAGTTCCTGCCTGTCAACTGGCACAGCTCCCTCCACTCCACAGGGGTGGACGTGTAAGTGTCCCCAGCGGCTCCTCCAGCCTCCTGGGAACGGCAAAGCACACGCACAGCCTCCTGCTTGGCTTCTTCCAGGGCTCACTGCAGGTGAAGGGGAAGCTGAGGGTGTTCAGGGCTGCGTTCAGAAGGATGCTCGGATCTGCATCCAGCCGCAGGGGAGGGGTTCCTGCCTTTCCCAGGCGGTGTCAGGAGGGACCCTGGGCATCCACTGGGAACTGAGCACCCAGTTTCTGCCCACAAGCACTGCCCTAGGAAGGGGTGAGAGCACATTTGGCTCCTGGGGAAGGATGGCCAGGCTGCTCACCCCTGCCTGGGGTGGGAGAGCACAGACCGTGCTCTGCCTTAGGTCTCAGCATGAGCCAAGGGCCTGGATTACAACACATAGAATCATGGAATCACCCAGGCTGGAAAAGAGCTATAAGAGCATCAAGTCCAACCTTTATCCCAGCAGTGCCAAGGACACCACTAACCCATGTCCCCAAGTGCCACGTCTACCCAGGGTGTGAACACTTGCAGGGACAGTGACTCCAGCCCTGCCCTGGGCAGCCTGTTCCAATGCCTGAGCACCCTCTGGGCAAGGAATTGTTCCTCAGCTCCAGCTAAACCTGCCCTGGGGCAGCTTGAGGCCGTTTCCTCTTGTGCCATCCCTTGTTCCTTGGGAGCAGAGACCAGCCCCCTCCTGGCTTCCTCCTCCTGTCAAGCAGTTGCAGAGAGCAATAAGGTCCCCCCTGAGCCTTCTCTTCTCCACACTAAACCCCCCAGGTCCCTCAGCCCTTCCCCATCACACTTGTGCTCCAGACCATGTCCTTTGAGATGGTGACAGTCCTTTCCCGAGCTTACACTTTGCTTTAGGAACGTGGAGGGCCTCACTGGCACCCCTGAACTGCGACTCCCTCTTCCTCCCCACAGCGACCTGGAGCGCATCACTCTGCCGAGCATCAATCGCCTGCGTCACTTCATCAACGACACCATCCTGGACGTTTTCTTCTACAACAGCTCCACCTATTGCCAGACCATCGTGGACACGGTGGCCTCAGAAATGAACCGCCTGTACCAGCTCTTCCTGCAGAGGAACCCGCTCTTCAAAGGGGGGGTCTCCATTGCGGGGCACAGCTTGGGTAAGGGGGCTCACCCGAGGGAACTGCTTTTCCCTCCCAGGAAGGAGGTGGACGGGAGCTTTTCCCTGCCCAGATGCTGATGCTCTGCCTGCCTGTGCCTGGTTTCCAGGGTCCCTCATTTTGTTTGATCTCCTGACGAACCAGAAGGCTGCTCCTGAGGAGGACGAGCGCAGTGAAGAGGTACGAGGTCCGCAGCGCAGCATCACCCAACCAACCTCCTGCTGCTGCTGCCTGGGGAAGGGGAGACAATCCAAAACACAGAGGAGAAGGTAAGTGAGCCACAAGCGTGATCTCTCATGGCTCTGTTCACAGGGGGCCAGGACAACAGCAAGCAACAAGGGTGTGGAGGAAGTAAAGGAAATCCTGAAGGAGCTGGAGCTGTCTGAATACTGTGAGGTTTTTGAGAAGGAGAAGATGGACAGGCAAGCGCTGGTGAGGAGCTTTCCTCTTCTGATGTCTCTTGTGTTTCTTCTTCGCTTCTCTTTCCAGCCCTCTCACCCACTGCACATCTTCCTGGTACCAAGTCACGCACGCACGGAGTGCAGCAGGAACAGACACTCCTCACAGCACGCACCACCCTGCTCCTGTGCTCATATCTGGGTTCCTTGTTTTCCAGTTCTTGTGCACAGAGGCAAACCTTAAAGAAATGGGAATTCCCTTAGGACCAAGAATGAAGATGCTTCATTACATCAGCTCCAAGAGGGAGATGCAGGTTTGTTTTCTGCATGCCTTGTGTTCATCCAGGTCCAAGCACCCCAACTTCCCCATCCCTGGCCACCCTTCCTCTCATGGGCTCACGTTTGGCTGCGGTGACATTGCTGCTTGCTGCTCCCATGGGTTACACTGGTGTTACCCTGCTGCAGGATCACTTTATCCCGTCGCCTGCAAGGGTGGTAAGAGAGCAGGAGGACTTGTTAACAGTGGTAGAGCATGAAGCTGGAGCAGGATGCTGCCGGGACTGCCCTGGGATGCTGGCTGGTTCACTGCCTCCTGTTCCTGCCCTTGGCTCACTGCAGGAGCTGCACTAATGGGTTTCTCATCTGTGTTGCTGCAGGACCAGAGCACAGCAGCTCCCCAGCACAAGGAGTGTGGGTCCCCACCGCAGCAAAACCCAGACAACACAGATGATGGCAGGAGTTGCCAATACCGGGACATTGGCTTAGGACAGGTAACTCAGCACCAGGCTCTAACTGCAGCAAGGAGGTGCTTGTAACACCAGCACGGAGTTTGTCTCATGGAACACCCCCGAAACGTCCATCTCCCCTTAGGTCTCAGCAAACTACCCTCAGCTGAACTACAAACCCACCATCTTCTTTGCTTTTGGGTCACCCATCGGGATGTTTCTCACGGTGCGAGGAGTGAAGCGGATCAACCCAAACTACAGCCTGCCCACCTGCAAAGGCTTCTTCAACATCTTCCACCCCGTAGGTATAAGAACCAGAGCTTCCCTGTGAGAGACACGTGGGGCACGACTCACTGTCCTCCTCCTCCTCGTACAGTTTGACCCGGTGGCGTACAGGATTGAGCCCATGATCGTCCCAGACGTGGAGTTTGAGCCCATGCTGCTGCCTCACCACAAGGGCAGGAAGAGGATGCACTTAGGTAGGGTGAAGGGCAGCCCCTCTCCCCCTGCCCTGGCTGCAGCCCCAGCCCCCAGCCCGACCCCATCCCCTGGTGCCTTTCAGAGCTGAAGGAAGGGCTGACTCGCATGAGCGTGGACCTGAAGAACAACTTGCTGGGGTCCCTGCGGGTGGCCTGGCAGTCCTTCACCCGTGCCCCACTGCCAGCCTTGGAGGCAGCGAGTACTGAGGGTGAAGGGGAGGCAGAGGCCAGCACGGAGAAGCAGCCAGGTGGGTGCTGGGGTGCCTGGTGTGACCTGCCCGTGGAGCAGCTCCAACAGGCTGCTGGGGCCCTGGGGTTGAACCACGTTGCTCTTTGTTTCCTTCAGACACGAAGGCAGAGGAGCCCCCCCCAGCAGTGAAGGAAGAGGCCTCCCCCATTAACGTGGGGAGGCTGAACGGGGGGAACCGCATAGACTATGTGCTGCAGGAGAAGCCCATCGAGAGCTTCAACGAGTACCTATTTGCACTACAAGGGCACCTCTGCTACTGGTAAGGCTCTGCTGAGGGTCAAAGCTTTGGATTCCCGTCTGGTGGAAGCTTTGAAAGCCAACGTTGTCAGAAAAGCCTTAACTCGGTCCTCCCGATACACTCCTGCCTTAACGCAGACACAGAGGGGGGTAGGGGCAGAGGAAGACCAGTGCAGCCCTTCTCGCGCAGTCCTTGCATGTGCTGAGGGCTGCAAGTACCCCATAACCACCACAGCCATCCTGACAGCGCAGGGAAGCACCCCCCTTCTCATCCCCATGTCCTCCCCTTCCTCCAGGGAGTCGGAAGACACCGTTCTGCTGGTCCTGAAGGAGATCTACCAGACACAAGGCATCACACTGGATCAGCCTTTGCCAGGGAGCCAGTGACCACCCTGTGCTGTTGTGGCCACTTGATGTAAGTCACCTCGCCTACACTCTGGAATTCCCTAGGACACCTCAGAGGACATTGGTGTTGGAGGGAGTGATGTTCCTTATTTACAGGCAGGAGTTTGTGTCAGGCTTTTCCTTTGGCCTGTCAGCATGTTTGGCCCCCCCTGCCCTGCACAACAAGCACTATCAGACATAAGGAGACCCAATAAACTGCTGCTGCTGGAGATAAGAGCAGCAGCAACTGCCCACAGATCCCAGGGGTTCAATCCATGAGGGAACGGCCTCTGGACCGAACACGCGTGGCCTGTGCTCCACACCTCCCGTGCTGTTTCTTAGAGACAGGCAGCGACCAGAGCATAGACCCTGCAGCTCTTCCAGGGCTTTGCTGTGTTCTCTTGCCCTCCAGCTGGAAGTTGCTGGGTGCATTTTGGCCGGCCCTCGTGCAGCTATTCCTCTGTTCTCCTTTTGCCTTCTTAGATCCCATTCAACTGAGCACTCACCAGGAAAGTCCAGATTTCTTCTCTGCCTTCCTCTCTCCTCTGCTGCTGTGTCCCGCATGCTGCTTCCCAAGTACTTGCTGCTACCTGGAGATAAGGATGATTTTCCTCCACGTAGGGTAAGGGCAGAGGGGAAGAAAACATCAAGGGAAACCACTTCTGCTCTCACACACACGCAGCACTTGACCTGTGACTCCCTGTGGCAACATGTACTTTTACCTCTCCACCTCCTAAGTTACCACACTAGCTCCCCTAGCACCAAAGCAGACTAGTTGTCAGGGCTAGGAACTAACATCGAGGGCCTGACTCTGCTCTGGCTTAGTGAGGAAACTCATAGCTTATGACCTCGAGGAATAAAAGCCTTAACAGTGCCCAGCGTGGAGAGCACTGCAGCAGCCTTGCCGAGCCGCAGCACAGCCCCAGGCCCGAGCAATTTGGGAGGTGAAGCCCACGTTCAGGAAGCTGCCACGAACGAGCAGGAACGTGTCATCCCCTTGAGGTGCTGCCGCATGGTCTGTGTCCCAGCCTCTGGTGACCCCCCCACGACCACCTCAGCCCCGGATCCCTGTGCTGAGCCCGCAGGCGCCGCAGGGCCGTGGCGCGGCGTTGCTGTGGCAGCCTTTGGAAGAACCAAACCGCTTCCCCTCCCGCTGGTGTGTGCCCTGCATGGGCTGCGGAGCCTTTACCCACCGCCTGTTTGTTGCTCGTCCTCCGCTGTTCCACGTTATTTGCACTACCTGAAAGGTTCTGTTTGCAGCCTCCGGCCCTCCTCCCCTCCCAGAGGAGCAGAAGCTGTTCTTTACCTGACTGCAGGGGCAGACAAGCTGCTCAGGCGGCGCCTGTACTACTGATTGCTAAAGCAGTCTCCTACGAGAGGAGGAAAAGGGAGAGTCTTACATGGGACACTAACGATCAGCTTTTTAAGTTATGCACTTTGTTAACAGGAAAAAAAAGAGTTAACTACATTTTAAATGTTATTTAATGTCTTTTCCAGTAAAAGCCAAAATAAATAAGTAGCTGACTGTGGTGCGTGCATGTCTGGGGGGAGAAGGAAGGGGATGGAGAACTCGGAGGTGTGGGATCTCAGGGGGAAGTCGAGCTGTTTCTGTAAGCTCTGTTGAAGGTGCAGGGTCCCAGACTGAAGGTAATGGGGTGGCGTTTCCATCGCTCACATCCTGAGCCTCACGTGCTGCAGCCCCACCTTTGCTTTTGACCAAAGCCACACGTGTCTATGGAGGAGGCCAGTGAGAAATCACTACTTACAGCAGTCCTGTGCTGTGGGGGCTCTGCAGCACTCTACCCTTCCAGTGCCTGAGAAAACAACCCACGGTGCAGGGACGCGCGGGCAGGGGCTGCTTTCAGACACCTCTGCGTTCTCTGCTGCCTCTCACCTCTCTACAACCATAGTAAAGCTGCAAGGAAAGAGACAGAAAATGAACACCTAGAACCCCCCTGGGGACACAGCAACAAACCCAGGCCTTGAAAGGAAGTTTTTAGTACCACAGCTCATTTGAAAAATTAAACTCCTTTATTTGGCACATTAGAAAAGATCAGGGCTAGCGCAGTAACACACTTAACACGTGCTAAAGTCATCTTCCCTCTCCCCCACTCAAAACATGGTTAGAGAGACTGGAACCTCATGCTCATTCCTGCCTATGAGCTCAGCTGGGATTGAGAAGACACCAGCAGCAGGTCCTGCGCTGCCCTTAGGGATACACTTCCCATGGAGCGGGATAGGACCGAAGGGAGGTGACTGATGGTGCTTTCTGGACTGGGCACAAGAACACCCATGGAATGGGGCCCACCAGGTCGCCACGTTCTCCTGGTTCTTGCTTCAGGACCTTTAGGAGCTGGGCTGTCCCGCAGGCTTGCACCCTGCGGGGTCCTGCAGGACGTGGTTAAACGAAGCAGCACCGGCTCCTGAGCAGGAGAACTTACCAGCACTGCAGGAACATCTACACCAGCATCAGGTTCATCCTCATCTGATCGAGCCACTTCTCACCTCCAGCCTCCCCGAAGCCTTCCCCTGCCCCGGCATTCAGGGAGCAGCAGGACAGAGCCCATCACTATATATCCAGGCGGAAGCTGGGAGCTGCAGGCTTCTCCTGGTGCACTGGCAGCTGCGTGGCTTTGTACAGGAAGGGTCTGTGGCACATGGAGTCCATCAGGGGCGGGTAATACTGCCTGTAGCAGAGGTAGGCAAGCACGAAGCCGATTGCGGAGCCAACCAACACGTCTGTGGGCGAGACCAGAGGAGAGTTAACGTCCCTTTACCCTCAGAAGCCTCCCGAGCTCTCCAGCAGGCAGCTTTTCAGCTGAAAAGCCCTCGGAACCCAGACCATTCCGTGGCGCTCAGACCCACCTTGCCAGTGGTGCTTGTAGTCGCAGGTGCGGGACACGGCGATGAGGGTGG